TGCAAGCCCCCTGGCCTGGTGGTCCCAGCAGCATGTAGGGCCTACCTACTCATAGGCAGGCTGGATGATGACCACGGTCGTGTACGTGTCATCCTGACGCTAGCAGCAGGGCGGCGTCTATGCCTCGTGTGCGGTGCGGACAGGCACATCACTGGTGGTCAGCTGCACTGTCTCGTGTGAGCCTGATGTTTCTGATGGCACCTCTGCCTCAGAACGCAGCCCCTAGTTCCCTGTGGAGGGAGAGCCAGGCCGTTTGTCTCCTGTCACCCCATCTGGGTTAGGTGGCTGTAGTCGGGTACCTTTGGGGGGGTGCAGATGTGTGGACCACAGGGCTGAAGGCTGGGAGCCCGACACCAGGATGCCGGCAAGGACCATCTTGCCAGTTATGTCCCCACATGGTTTCCTCAGTGTGCACGTGGGGCGGGGCCCCGTGTCTCACTCTTCCTAGGGAGCATTGAGGCTCACGGGCCCCACCCCACGGCCTCATCTAACCCGTCTCCACTTGCCAGTATGGTGGATCATTGGGCTTCTGGGATAGAAGGACTCCAGAGCACCTGTCTGTCTCAGGAGGGATGTGAGACGTGGGACAGTGCTGCTTCGGGGAAGAACAAGGTTCATGGTGCTTTGGCCCAGAGACCTACTTGACCGTGTGTGTCATCAGACGTGGCCTCTGGGGTGCAGGGGCAGACAGCTGGGGGGGTGTTGAGCTCACTCCAGGAGGGGGGCAGTCTTCTGGCAGGGTGGGGGCAGGCAGCCGGGGGAGTGTCGAGCAGACTCTAGGGGGGGTGGGGGCAGGCGGCTGGTGGGTGTTGAGCAGACTCCGGGGTGTGGGGCGGGGGCAGGCAGCTGGGGGTGTTGAGCAGACTCCAGGGGAGTGTTGAGGAGACTCCGGGGGGCAGGGGCAGGTGGCTGGGGGGCTGCAGCCTGGGTGGAGCTGGTCCCAGTGGCTGTTGCTCAGTGGGTCGTTTGCTGAATGCTCCCTGCTCACTTGAACTCAGTCAGAAGTCCTTTCTTGTCCCATTGCAGTAAACCCAACAGTAATTTTTGTTGTTCTGCTCAATGAGTTTTCCAAACGAAAGAAGGAAACGGTAGGAGCCGAGTACACGGTTGGGGGGCAGGGGAGCGAGGGAAGCCTGAGCTCTGCTTCCTGGTCATCTGCATCCTCGGTGGGTGTTTTAGCCATGAGGGTGATGGTGGGCACCCTCTCCCTTCTCCAGGGACAGGGTAGTGCTTGTACCCTGTGTAATTAAAGCTTGTCTTATTTTCCTGCTCCATCTCACCCACTCCCTACCCACTCCACCTGCCTCTTCTAGAAGCCTGAGGCCTGGCGCCCACAGGGAGGTGGCAGCTGTGGACTTGACTCTGGCTGAGTTGTTCCATCCTCTCTCCCCACCTCACCCCCCACTTGACTGGACGGTCTTCAGACTCATGGTTAAGATTTGTTCCCAGAGACGCCGCCTCTGAAATGCTGGGCTGGATAGCACGTGTCTGCAGACTTGCATTTTTGCTTTCTTGTGTTTTTTTTAGGCTTTGTTTTCCTGCCCCCGGACTGTGTTTGAGGCTCAGACTCCGATGTTGCAAGGAGGCACGGAGCAGAGGGCACAGGCTGCTTGTCCTGCCGCCTGCCCTGTGGTGCCGAGACCAGGTCCCCGGGGCATCTCCCTTCACCCGGTCTATAAATCTGGTTTCTGTTGCTGGCCTGTCAGCTCCGGAAGCGCCAGTTTGCCATCCTGGCTGTAGGATGTTTCCTAAAGCGTTGGGTCCCTGGTCTGGAGCGCCGACTCCTCCTGTGAGGAATCTCCAGGCTGGGCCTCGCACTCTGGGCCCCAGGAACACGCAGGAAGTACTGTTTGCTCAGTTCTCTTTGGTTCTGTCCATGTCCACTGGGGTTCCTTGGAGGTTGTGCTGGTGTCTGACCATCCTGGGCAGGAACTCAAAGTGGGATCTGAGGTAGGAGCTTCGTGTTCTCATCCTCGGGTTTAGAGGCTTAGGAATCGTTATTTATTTTTGGCATTTGCTGTACAAACGTATGAAATAGATTTTGTGCTGCTGGGTCTCCTGGCGGGTTGTTGGTTTGGGGCGTCTTCCTCTCGCCTCCTCATCTTTCTGTCATGGGAAAAGCTGCTCTTTGAATTAACATCCAGATTTGGAGAAGTCCACTGGTTGAGTTGATTGCATTACCTTAACCAGCTGGGTTCAAGCAGAAACGCACACACCGGTCGGTGACCTTGGCTCCTCCAGGTGGCCTCGGGTGTGGGGTCTGGGCCTGTTTCTGGTCACATATCGAAGCTGAAAGCTTGTCTTCTGAGTGCTTGAGGGTTTTCTGGTTGGTTTGTGTTTTTGGGTTGTGTGTCTGTGTCTGGGTGGGTTCTTGGTTGGGTTCAGAATTTTGTTTCTAAATATTACTGTCCTTGGGTTCCTTGCATTTATTTTAGATTTTGCACCAGTTTCACATTATCTCAGTTGGGTATTAAACAGAGTTTCAGAATTGGCAGAATGTCGAGAAGAACCAGATGTGTGCACTCCAAAAAAACAGCGCTGGTAGATCCAGGGTTCCCTCGGTCAGCTGCTCCCCATCCACGCCTGCTGCCATTTTCCTTTGGTCTGAAAATAACAGGCTGTGCTCCAGAAACACGCAGGAAGCTTGCAACTGAGGCCAGTCAGGTGGCGTGAGCCACACCCGAGTCCACAAAGGCGTGTCCCCTGGGCTCCCACTCCAGGTCCAGCCCTGGGAGCCTGGCGTGCTGCTCCTGGCTGCTATCCCAGGAGTTCGCTGCTGCCCAGTTAGATATTCCTGTGGGCCCGGCCCCCACCCCACCCCACCCAGTGGCCTGCGAGCAGGAAGGAGCCACAGCTCGCTGCTGGGAGACGTGGGAGCCGGTCCAGGTGTCCTGGGCCCTCGCTATCCCTCAGGACCTCTGACTGCAGGCTGGCCCCCTGCCAGAGTGAGGCTTCCGGCTGGTGTCCAGCAGGCTCACAGCCTTGGGTGCTGCGGGGATCCTGCTGCTTTGAGCTAAAGACTTGACGTCAGCAGGCATCGTCGTCACCCATTAGGGTCCAGGTCAGCACGTCCCGTCCCCGCTGGACCGAGTTTCAGGAGGCTGCACGGCCCAGCCTGGGGTGTTTGTGCAGTTGGCCTGCGAAGCACTTTGTTCGATTTGTCCTCCTGGGAGAAGCGCCCTGCTCCTGGTGCTGTGACCGTTGGTGGGGTGTCCACCCCTGCCCCTCCCTCAGGAGAGGCCTGGGCTGCAGAACTTCCTGAGACCCTTTGGGTTGTCCTTTGTGGGCTCATGCGGGCCCCGGCCGGGTGTGCTTCCTGGCAGAGCTGTGGTGTCCTAGCTCCCAGTGGGGGGGCTCCTGCCAGAGCCCCAGAGCCAGTGGAGGTGGGGGGCATCGCAGAACCAGCTTCCTGACCACTCCTCACAGCCTGCTCCTGTCTCAGTCCTGTCCAGCTTTGAGAAGACATGTTCTTAAGTCAGGGGCGAGTGGCACAGCCGGGCTCCTCATGGGGCCACCCTCCCTGCAGGAGGCACTGTCGTCGCCCCTCTTTACCTGCAGGGGTGTGTGTCACGTGACAGCAGAGAGTGCCTAACCCGTGCTGCATTCTTCCTGTGCGTACACACCTGTGTGACGTCTAATCTGTAAATCAGGTGCAGTGAGAAAACCTCATGTGGCCAGCGTTGCTGCCCTGGGGCTTTGGGGCCCTCATGAAGTAAGGGAAGCCTGTGACCCCTTAACAGTTGAGACACCGCTGAGTGCTCATGGTGGAGGGGGCGCACAAGGTCAAAGGTCAGGATGGTGCAGGGTGTCCTCTTGGGGCTCAAAGCAGCAAACCTTAGGACACGTTTATTTCTGGAATTTCCCCTTTACTATTTCTGGACCGCAGTTGATTGCAGCTTAACTGAAACCTGGGACGAGAGGGCAGCTTGGTGGGTGGAGCAGCCCTGAAGGCTGGGACACTGGGCATTTCTTGGTAGAGTGCGGAGGCCGGCCTGGTGGTGCCTTTGCTCCAAGCTCGCATCTCGTGAGAAGCAGGCCCTCCTCCTCAAGGGAGTCAGAGCCGCTATTCCCAAGGAGATGCTTGTCTCCATCGCCACCCTCGTCCCCCAAGCTGGGGAACAGACCCCTCCCTGCACTTTTCGGTGCCGAGAGCAGCTTTCTTGGAAGAGTCTGGAGGGCCCACAAGGTAAGGGTTCGACTCATTCCTGAGTCGCTTATCAAGACCAAACCAGCATGGGAATGTCAAGGGCTTGGTGTTTGGAATGAACTCCCAGTTGAGAACATTTTACTATTTTTATTTTTATTTACCCTCTAGGCTGGTAATGGGCCTGCCTTCCTTATTATAAATGTTGCATGTTTAGATTCCTGGGGTTTCTGACTTTGTAATTCTTAAGATTTAATCAGCTGTGCAGGTCGTGTGAAAAGTCACTTTACAGGCAGTGCCGAGAGGAAAAGCTGTTAGAGTGCCACAGATGCCTTCCGTTTGTAGGGGTGGCAGCTCGGCACCAGGACCAGAGTGTCATGGTTTCATAAGTTTCATTAAAAGAGTTTTTGACTTGACTTTAAATTCATATATTAAGGGGCCTCTCACCAGGACAACAACAGCAAAACCAGGACGATGACGTAATACCTAATGCGTGTGATCGAGTCTAGGACCCGCAGGGGGCGGGGTCAGGGCAGGAGACTTACAGGGGTGACAGCAAGGGGGAGTGGCTCACAGAGCATCCCTGCACAGGGTGAGTGCCAGCTGAGCATCTGCACTGCCTGACTCACGCCCACTCGGCAGCTCATCAGTCCCCCCACACCTCAGGTGGGTCGCTGTGGGATTCGGGGCCCGCCAATCGCAAGCCTGTTTCCGCCCCAGCTCTTGCCAGGGTGACTCCAGGCTGGGGGTCTAGAAGTCTCCAGGTTTCCAGGATACGGCTACACATTTGAATCGCTGTTGTTCAGTCATTGAGTCCTGTCCTCTGTGCTGACACGTGTCTCCTCTGTGTCTCAAGGTGCTCCAGGGGGCCCAGCTGATAGCTGTAGCTTCTTCGGACCCGGCTGCCACAGGGGTGGACGGCTCGCCGCTCCAGGGCAGCGACATCCAGGTCCAGTATGTCCAGCTGGCGCCGGTGACCGACCACACCGCTGCGGCCCAGGTGGGTCCTCCCTTCGGGAAGTGCACAGGGCCCGGGGCTCCTGCAGGTGTGGACACGCTTGGGCCTTTCTACCTCGGACCTTCTTCTGTGAGGAAGGTAAGTGACCGTGAGAGGTGCCCGTGTGGACCTAGGCTCTCACTTGGGATTCTGTCTCTCGTAAGTGCCTGGAAGTGTGAAGGTGAGAAGTCGGTTCCTGGCCCAGGGACCAGCTTGAAGCCAGTTCTCAGGCACATGTTTACCTATGAGTTTAGAGGCCAAATCAAGTATACCTGAGGCCTTGCTGTTCCTCGGGTTGGGGCAGGGCCAGCCCAGGATCCGAGGTCCTGCAGGCCCCCATGTGGGTTTTTAACCCCCAGTGATGGTACTTGGTCAGAAGACCATCATGGCCTCCCCTGGGTCTGGGGGAGCCAGACCTGGACCCCCGTGTGGTGCCCAGGCCCATAGGACAGGCAGAATCATCGGGGTCTGTCAGGGCGTGGTCAGGCTCAGACCGCTGGGGTGGGGGTGACACGGGTGTGCTCTCTCAGCGCCCTCAAACCCAGCCCCTCTGGAGGAGGCCTGTGCTGAGCCTTCAGATGGGCGGGCAGACACCCCCACTCCTGCCACCCCCACCATCGGGAAACATGTGTCCATGGGATGTTTGCACTGAGAAAGCACAGCCTTGAGCCACAGTCGGAGGAGTAGCGCCAGCCCCACCGGGGACTCTGCCTCACCTGCGTGGCCCTGGGACCCATCCAGCTAAAATTCCTGCCAGGGGAGCCCACCTGCATTACCAGTGGCTTAGGGAGTCCAATAAATCGCCAGTCTATGTGGGGGCCCCCCATTCTTGGTGGCCGAGATGAGTGGTCAGTGACTTATTCTAAGATTGTATTTTTCCCTTTAACTTATCCTAAACGTGTGAATATGCTGACCACTTGGAGGGTGCCCCCAGTGAGAAGCAGGGTGGGAATGGAACTTCATGCTGGTGGTGGTGGGCGGCTGGGGCACTTGCGGGAGGGTTAAGTGGGTGGGCGGCTGGGGGCAAAGTGGAGGCCCCGCAGAGGGACCTCGGCGTCCTGGGATTTGTCAGTCCTGGGCCACCAGCCCAGGTGTGTGTTCTACTCTGTGCCTGAAAACCACACGTGTCTGTGACCGGGCATGGCCTGGGCCCCTTGATGGAAAGGCCTCTCCCCTCTTGCAGGCGGCTGACGCCCTACAGCCCACCCTCCAGCCCGAGATGCAGCTGGAGCACGGGGCCATCCAGATCCAGTGAGGTCGCTGACCCGCCCAGACCCAAGCCACGCCGCCGCTGCGTGCTGGCCCCTGCACGCTGGCCCCTGCCACCCACACCGTTCACACGCGCCCGCCCCTCGGCTTTGCACGGGAGGGGCCTGCCCGCGTGCTGCAGAAGTGCATCCATGCACCCGTCTGCGGGGAGAGTGCCCTAGGAAACGAAGACAACGGTAGCCCCTGCCGCCCCCGCCCGGAGACCCTGTTTCTTTTGATCTCCTCGCACGTCCAGGGAAGGAGCGGGAAGCACAGTGCGGTTGCGTCAAGCGCACGCTGGAAATCAAGAACTGCGATATTTTTCTCTGTTCAAACAGCTTTTTTTAATTTGCTATGGTGTTTATAACAAAAAAGAAAATCGAAAAAAAAAATGGAGTAGCAGAAACCTTTTGCTGTGTGCTCTGTTCAGTGTAACAAGGATAGATGTTCACAGGAGACGACTAATGATTTTGATGGAGATGTTGCTTACCTACTTTTTTAGGGGGATGGATGCGCTCAGCGCTGTAATTGTGCATTTCTAATGAAATAAATGAAATAAAATGTATTTATGACCATGGCAGCTATCGCATTGTTTCCTCCTGGGAGCTGCCCCCCTCCCTCGCCAAAGCCAGCCTTGCTTCTCCCTCCTCTGGGCGCTCAGCATCACCCCAGGCCTGACATGGCTTCCTCCAGCCCCAGAACGTTCCAGCTCTGGGGGGTCCTTGGAGGAAGTCGTGTCCAAAGGAGCCGTGTTGTATATAAACAGGAAAGAGAAGGGCGGGAACGGAACGGAGTTCCACACAGAAGCCCCTGAGGGGGTTTGCGTTGACCGTGGCCCACGGGTCTGGCCTGCTCTGCCCCTGCCGTCTGTTAGCTAGCGAAGTCCCCACAGCAGCTGTGCTCACTGACTCAGAACGTGGCCATGGCACTGCTGCCAGCGAGCCTTCCTGGGTGTCCCCTCAGACCTGCCTTCTCTACCCGACCCCGTAGGGTCCTGGGCTGGGTGATGATGAGGCTCGCCATGGGCTGCGGGCAGTCCGGGGTGGATGCCAGCATCCCTCTGTTCTCTGTCCCCATCTGCCCTTCAGGAACGGGCAGAGGCCAGCCCTAAGGGGGGAAGTGGGAGGAAGGAGCTGATGCAGGTAACATGTGTTTGATCCCAGAGGAAAGAACAGAAGGTGGTGACAGGTGAGGGGATTCGGGAAGCAGAGCAGATCCCGAGCAGAAACACAAAGTCACACCTGGACGTGCAGAACCTCAAAAGACAAAGACAACGCAGAGGCAGCCAGAGAGGAAGGACGGGAGAGGGAACGTCAGAAGCAGAGGCATAGAGATGCCCCACGCGGAGTCGGGCCTTTAGTAGGACAACAGTTGAGCAACGCAGGTGACAGTGCCCATCTGGCCAGCGTTCCACCCCGAGGGGCGCACCCAGGAGAACGGACACCGTGCGTTGTAGACAGGTCCCTGTGTTCAGCAGCGCTAGTCACAGTGGCCAGAGGTTGGGAGCCGCCGAGCATCCCTCAGCCGAGGTCCACCCGCACGGCAGCACTGTCACTTGGCCATGAAGGGAAGGAAGGAAGCACCAACACAGGCTGCAAGGTGGAGGAGCCATGAAGGCACGCTGAGAGAGGGCAGCCGGGCCCAATGCACCGCACGTGGTGTGGTTCTCTTCATTATTATTTTTCTAACGGTAGGAACTTGATTTGTATACTCTGTTGTTTTGGCTGCACCGGGTCTTCGTTGCTTTCTCTAGTTGTAGGGAGCAGGGGCTCCTCACTAGTTGCGATGCTTGGGCTTCTCATCGCGGTGGCTTCCCTTGTTGCGGCTCCCGAGCGCTAGAGCGCTGGCTCGGTAGCTGTGGAGCACCGGCTTAGTGGGCGGGATGTGGGGTCTTCGTGGACCAGAGATGGAACCCATGTCCCCTACACTGGCAGGTGGATTCTTAACCAGCGTTAAGTGTTTAAATTGGTGGTGGTGTTTTTTTTTTTTAAATAATAAAGTACACAAAGAGCCAAAATGTGCTGCCAGTAGGCCTGCACTAAAACATTTTAAAACTGCACTTCTGGCAGAAGGAAAGTGGGGCCGGATGGAGGACCTGAGATGCGGGGAAGAAAGTGGTAAAATGTGTTGAGTCGTCTAGAAAATGGACTGCACAGAAGAAAGTACTGTCTGTGGGGCTTAAAAGGAAAAGAAAGAAGTAGTGTGTGCAGAGGGAGAAGTGGTCGTCAGAGGATGAGATGGTCCGATGGCATCACCGATTCAGTGGACATGAACTTGGGCAAACTCTGGGAGATAGTGAGGGACAGGAAAGCCTAGCATGCTGCAGTCCATGGGGTTGCAAAGAGTTGGACATGACTGGGTGACTGAACCATAACAAGAATGTGCTGGAGGGAGTTTTCAGAAAGATGGTAGGAAGTTAATAAACTCAGTCCATTAAGTTGTATTCCCCATCCATTAAAAGACCAGGGGCAGTAGCTACAGCTTCCAAACTAATAGGGAGGGAGTTGCCATGAGGAAAAAGTACCCCGTGGATCCAAAGAAGGCAGGGAAGGAAGTGGGCACAGGGTGGGGCCTCCTCTTGGAGAGCGGGGTTGCCCAGGTCTTGTGTTGTTGGGTCCTCGCTGCCTGCTGAAGCAAAACACGATCCTAGTGAAAGGAAGGTAATGTGGAGTTCTGTCCACAAGCAGTTCTGCACACTTACTACCCAGTGCACTGTCAGAAATAATCAGGCAGATGAGAGAAAGCACAGACAAAACCAACACAGCGGGTGGTGGGTGTGGCACTCATCCCAGGCTTTCTACCTGCTTATGTTGTTCAGAGAATTTAAACTGACCTGGAAACTGTCTCAAAGTACAAAACCGTCATTCTACAACTTTAGTAGAAAAATCAAAGTTAAGATTTCACTATGTAGGTATCAGGCAGAGCTGTGAAGATCACTGGCGAACTGGAAAATAAAGTGGGAGAAGAGAGCCAAAATGAAGAATGTTAACCAAACGCTCAAAGAAGGCCTTATCCAATCCTTTCTCAAACTCTTCCAGAAAATAAGATGGGACATTTCCCAGCTCATTTTATGAGGCTCATATATCTCTGGCATCAAACCTCAGAAGATAAAGTAGAGACAGAAAATTACAGAACAATCTTACTCAGAGAAAAAAAATGTATGCAAAATACTAGCAAGTCAAACCCAGCAACCCACAGGCTCGGAGATCATTTGCTCCCTGACTTGCTGGGACCAAGAGACACGTCGGCTTGAGATTTTATTTTATATCCAGGAAACGTGGCCGGGGGAGCACTGGTTACACAATCTTCCCTGAAAGATTACAGTGGGTCAGGCTCTGGCTCCCACTCCAGTGGCATCAAAGACCCCTTACCCCACTGCCCTGTTCTAAGACGGCACCAGATGACACAGGCCGTACTCCGCCTGCCCTCGCTTATGCCTTCCGGCAAATCCACACCCGAAGCCCTGGGGCAGTGAGCTGATGGGCTCTACAAGGAGTGAGGTTCGCCTGGAGCGTTTCCAGCTCAGGTCTGGCTCCTCCTCTTCCTCACAGCTGCGGGAGGAGAAGATAAGACCGAGGGTCCGGGGCGCTGCACCGGCAGGTGGGAGGAGGGAGGGCCACTGCTGTGAGCGTGGCTGCTGGGTGCCCAGGCTGGGTCTCTAGGTCAGCTGCCCTCTCATTGGATGGAGGGGCAGAGGGCCAAGGGCTGGTGGTGGGTGGGTGGGGGGGTGTCTGTGATGCCCAATGGAGGCCAGGGGTGGGGTAGGGGAGGGTGGAGAGAACTGGGCAAGCCTGGCTCACCTGCACAGCTGGATGGCAGCCTGGGGTTCCACGAGGACTCAGCTGTCACCCTGGAACCAGGCTGCAAACCCAGGTGGGCAGAGCTGGTAGGACTGGCTGCAGGCGGCCCCCCTGCCCGGCTGGACCTGAGCCCCTGCCTGACCCTGGGAGGGACCCGCAGGGGCCCCCGCCCCGGCCTCTGAGGCTGCGCTCCCCTGGCTGTGACTGTCCGCAAAGTGTGCTCGCCGATGTCTTAGCTACATTTGGTTACGACCACCGTTCCACCCCCCACATCACCTCCCTTCCTGGCACCGTTGGAGCAGCGGCTCCGGCTTGTCTGGGGCCTGTCCCAGGGCAGCGGGCCGGGAGATGGAGCATTTGGGTTTGGTGGGATGTGTTGATGGGGGTTTGCTGTCTCTTCTGGTAGAACTGAGCACTGCTGGCTGTGCTGGGTGTAGGGGTAGCATCCAGGGAGAATCTGAACGCCCAGGCCTGATGCAACAGTGGTGATCTGGGACAACTCCAGCATCAGGTGTGCATTGCCGTGCCAGTCTGGGGTCCAGGGTGCACATTGCTGTGCCAGTCTGGGCTCTGGGACTTGTACTGCTTTTCCTGAAAAGGACCCCAGAGTTATGTAAGCTGTTGCCTCACAAAACCAGTTTGTCCTCCATCTAGTCATCAACTCCCCGATTCGTGGGCGCTGGTGGCTGAACGGCCAGGAGGGAGGGATGAGGGGTTCTGGCCTGGGACGTGGGCAGCAGGGCTGGTCTTCAGCACGTTCCCTGTGCGTTGTCCCCTGGACGAGGTGAGCCTCGGGGCCGGCCCCGTCGCTGCCCTGGCACTGGCCCTGCTCCCTGCGAGGACCTCCGGGTGTGACCACACAGGGGCCCTNGGGCTGGTCTTCAGCACGTTCCCTGTGCGTTGTCCCC